TATCTTTATTTTCTGAAAATCTACAGCATTCCTAGGAACTGTAGGAAGTGTTTTTGTCTTTTTTGCTGATTCTCCTTCAACTCTACCTGCAACAGCACCAATCATCAACACATTATTCCTAAAACTATAGGGAGACAAGCAAAGCAGCAGTGTTACTTTCAGGATGTCTTTAAAAGAAATCAAAGATGATTAGCAACAAAAATACTACTCCTCTAATTATCTGGTGTAAATGTCTTATCCTGAGCTATGATTCCTTAAACATAGTATCAGCTGCACAGCCTGACTTCAGCCTGACTTTTTCGTTTACCAAAGATTAGTTTTGTTTTGTTCGTGAACCACTTCACAGGCTCAAAACCCAGCCATATGATGTTCAGACACACCATTCTTAGGAACAATGTTTTCCAGTCCATGACAGATTAACCAGAATTGCACCTGAGTTTTGGGGAGCAACTGTTCAGTTCAACCTCTCATAAACCCATGGCAACTCATCCCGGGGGAAGAGCTGATCCATCGCCTTCCATGATGTGTCTGCAGAATACTTCCCCATGGTTACCTAAATTAATTAGGACATGTGGGTTTCTAAATATATTCTAGTTTCTCTCTCATTTCTGAAGTTACTGCTGTAGGCAGTCATTAGCAAGCTTCTATGGTGTAAAATTTTTAATTTATGTTTCATCTCTGATATACAAGCCCTTAAAACTCACATGGGTCAGCTTAATCCTAATCTACATGCAAAACCTGCTTGGTTTATCTCAAATACAATTAGAAATGTGATTCATTCAGTGCAACAATTGAAAACCCTCAGGGTTGGGGTATGTTCCTATCAATTTAATCTAGTTACTAAATCAAGATATACTGATATTAAAAGATGAAAATCAAATTTAAAGTATCCACATGGGAATTTAAACATGTTTAACTAAACCATTTAAAGTAACTTACTTTAAACTAGTGCTATCTTCATATGTCATCAATGTCTTTGTTTATTTGGATCACAGGGCTTCTGATACAAATGCCCTGAAAGACAGCTATGGGGTAGATAATATGGTGAGTGACTGATGGCCTTGTCTGACCAACAAAAGGTCCAGAGAGTATTTTTAGGAAAAGGCTTGCTAATAAAAACACACCTCATTTCTAGTGTGAGTTTCATGTGATTTCACCTTTAGTCACTTTTGGTTATTATGAATCTCAAGTCTGATAGTCCAAAGGACTTCCCACAAAGGTTTTGCTTCACATACTGCTATGTGGATCTTATGATGAGGTAAGCATTTAGCTGCTCCATTAAACTAAACAGCTTGAGGCCCTGCAGTCCCTTGTAAGGTTTCTCAGGGCTTAAATCTCCCCAGTTCTTGAACGTGCTTATTGAACTGTGAACACCAGAACTGGACCCTGTATCCCAGTGCTAAAAACAGAAAAGGCAAAACTACTGGATTCACAATACACCCTGTCTGAAAGTCCAAGCACCAACATCATGATCTGGCTGACACTGGCTGGCAAAAATCACAACACCCTCCCATAAGCCTGGGATTCTTGTGTCAGTAATTTTTTCTTCTTGCTCAGGACCAAAATCAGGACTGGCAGGCTTAAATTCACCTCAGTTGCCCTATTTGTTCATTGGAAAGCCTTTCTGCAACTTACTCTGTGATTTGAGTCCTTGAAAGCAAACACAAACGGTTTTAAAAAGTGACAATTTTATGCTCTTTTAAGACTTTGTGACATTTTTAGTTCTAAAATGATTAAATTACTACTCTGCTATTTAATATCTGCCAGTGCTACTACTGGAAGTGTTTGATTAGCATCTTGTGATACACCTCCATCACTTTTTCCCAAATACACACTGGACATATTTAATAAATATTCCTGCCTTTTTGCACTATTATTAGGTATACTAATGTAGCAAAATAATTGTTCAGATTCTATTTACTCATTCTTACCAGCCTTCACTGTTTTGGCTAAAGATTTTTCTTTGTGTTTCCATAATTCTTGTTTCAGCTTCATTTTTTGACATGTTAACTTACAGCTTCACCAACTTCATGTTTTATGTTATTTGTCATAAACTGTCTTCCATTCTCTCCTATGCTAGCTGATTTTCTCGGCTGATACAAATGTCTATCTTGGCTGTGAGACGGTGTCTTTTGGGAATCTACAAAAACGTTCTCGGTCTCCTGATTCATGCACAACAGGGAGGCCAACCTCATGCATGCTTTTTCTCTTTAACTTGGAATATAGCAAATAATATACACTTTTCCCTTTCAAAAACAAGTGATGTATTTGGTTGAACCCTACACTCACTTGTAACAGATTCATTAGTGGTTTGATAAATAGAGCAGAGTATATTCTCATACTTTTAATTTTCCAATCACAAAATATTAATTATTGCATTGTATGCTGAGGGTAAAATACCACTACTTTTTATTCTTTTTTCATTTAAATTTGAGTATGCACTATATAAGACAGTGGGTAGAGTCAAATGTGTTATGAAACCACTTGCTTCAGTAAATTACATTCTATTTAAGTTAATACTACTTTATTAGTGATAAATATGTCTCATGCCCATAAAACACTACTTGGCATAAAATGATGAGAAAGCTACTACAAGCTACAGATGATGGTGGGAACGCATGCACTACACACACCCTTTTCAATGGCTTCATTAAAACATTCAGAAAAAAATAACTGTAAATTGCACATGAAGCCAAAAACAGACATCAAAATGCAGCAAAAGAAGAGGGGCCCTTTGCACCTACAGTGACTTGTATTGATTTATACAAGGTAGGAGTCCCAAGATATTTGTATATGCTGGAACAGCTCTTAAAAATGATATAGAATTAATTTACAAAATACCTAAAGTATGGTCCTTCAGTGTTTTTATTCACATCTTCTACCCACTTAGCTACATTATATTCTCTTTTGAACCATGGGTTTAAATACCTGCAGAAAGCAATGGAAGGAACAGAGAAAGCAGAAGAACAAGAATAGAAAATCTGAGAACACACAGCACAAGCTTAGCAAGGATGTCTTCATCCCCAAAATGCAAGTGAATATGGCAAATAAATCAGTATGGAAGTTGGGTGAGGACTAGGCAATGTGTACAACTGCATGAGAAAATCTGACCTACAACAAGACTGTTTGATTAATCTGGAAACTCTCTGGGATACATCATTCATTTAATGTCTTAAGGGTAAAATTCACTCCTATGCAGAGGGCCAGCATTAAGTTCATGGTTTGAACTCCTCTCATGATCTTAGAATAAGGATGAAGAGGCATTTTGGCTCCAATCCTGCAGTTTGCTTGTTGAAGACACATGTTTGCACCCATCTAGAATAAATTGCAAGATAATGAGCACAGAAACGGGCTTGGCCCTTTCTACAGGAATGAATTTCAGCCTCAGTGTGTGAAAAGGCTTGAATTGTTTGCCGGTACAATGGCAATTTTCACATTTTTCAATGATCATTTAATCTGGTAGGACCACAAGAAGCTTTAATGGAGGTGGGCTGCAGAGTTATTTCACATATTCCACATCAAGAAGCAATCTTGATACCAAAACCACGCTTTTTAGGAAAAAAGCCTGAGCTGCATACTCATATTAGTTACATGAAAACTATGAAATAAAGACAGCTGACAGTAATATTACTAGGGAAGAAGAAACTTTTTTGTAACTGGTTTCTCTTAGCCCCCAATAACATGATTAGCGAATTCCTCCCCCTCTGTCATGTTAAGAAAAAAGGGCAATGAAGAAACATGAGACTGCCTGGTCCAGTTTAAAGTCTGTTCTTGTTGTGTAAGAATGGTAACAGTTTAGCAATTAGTTGTGATCACCACCTTTATATAACTGAGACTAGCACACTCTGAAATAGGAAACAAGTTGTAGCCAAGGAAAAAGGGAAAGAAAATTCCTCTTTAAGTTATTTTTGATATTTCTGGGCCAGTTCTCACCACCCTTGTTTATGACAGTAACTCCAATGACCTCACACATGGGAATGGGCCTTGCAAGGGATTGCTCAGATGCGTAAAGGTTGGGCCGGATCATGTCATTCAATGCCCACCGTATTTCAAACCACGTTGACAACAAAAGCAGCAGCACTTTTTCGACTTCTTTTGCTCCTTTTTTGCTCTGGAACTTCTCCTCCCCGCCCCGCACAAGCACAGCCACAGCTCTCAGAAAGTACTCGCCCTCAGCCACAAGTGCTTCTAAGTAGCTTCCTCAGCTTGCTTATTTATCAGGAATCAGGAGTGCTTTATGCTTTCCAGCTTGGGTTCTTAGAGAAAGAAAACATTAAAAGTGGTAGTGCAGCAACAGATGAACCACAAGTGAAGCAATAGGCTGATGCCAGCATCATCAGGAACTAAAAAACTGCTTTAGCTTTAATTGTAGGTTCGACTACACGTTTTCTTGTACTTGCTGCAGTACTTTCAACTTGCTTTTTTTCATTTGAAAGGGTCTTTTGGTAACCATGAAACACTCCCAATCTGGCTTCCTGTATTAGAAAACAGTGTACTGTGGTATCAAAGCATGCAGTTGTCGCACAACCGTGTTGCAGGGTTTCCTGGGTCTGGTTGTATTACAGACCGTCGTTCACCACCTCAATTCATCTGTTACAGAAAGGTTAAACTTGAGTTACTGTAGACCGCTACATGATACCATCAGAAAGCTCTCAGGCTGATCCTCCTGGCCATATGTTCATTAGTGATGGCCAGAATCCACATTTTCTATGAGTGAGAAATTCCACTTTAAAACACAGGTGTCTTTACACGTAAGTCTACAGCTAGACCAACAGCTCAATTTGGCTTGTAGCGCAACATGCAACAAGGCAAAAGACCTGGGCTCAAGAGTACTCATACTCCTCAGGCTGGCGAGGAGGAAGGTTAGCTAGCGCTGCAATCAGCAGGAGCACCTCCAAGCAGTCACGGTATTCTGCCACAGTGAAATACTGTATACTGAGGGAAGGGACTTTTCATGGCATAAAATGGCAGCCCAGAACGCAGGGGCAGGTGAGACTGACCTGTGATCCCGACTCCCTGTTTGGGGGTGGTCAGAACCCCCTGGGCTTATGCCTTGGGCCGGGATTTGGTGGGCGAGAGAAAGCCCAGGCTCAGATGCATGGGTTACCCTGCTGCAAAAAGACAATATATAATAGAAAGTCTAAGCCAAAGATGTTTGTATCAGTTATAACAACGAGGAAGACAATCGCTTATCGGAAAAGCAGTGCAAATTAACAAAGGTCAGAATCACTGTTTGGTAAAACGCTTGTTTCCTGGGACCTGTTTTAACACAAGTTCCCAGTTAAACTGTCAACTTATTCAGAAAAACTCTCGTTATCATTCCTAGATATCTCTAATCAATTTTAATGGGAAAACTTGTTTTATCAGGCCATTTCATCAACCCCGTTTCTGAAAAAGCTGAAGAAACATTTGGCCTGCTGGCATTCCTTCTGTGTGAACTGAACCATGTGCCTTTAGCAAAGAACACAAATTTTGTTTTAAATCTAGAAACAATTAAAAAGTCCCAAAAGGGCTTTAGCAGCCTCCACAGAGCTATACCCTTAGCAGAAGCTTTGTCCACGTATCTGTTAGGTACAAAGGGTCACACAAAGGCATGAGCAGTATGTTTTTCAGGAACTGCTCAATGTACTTGCAACCCTCCTGCCAGTGCTGCTTGTGAGGGCTCCAGAGCTCAAACCTTGCTCAGTGCTTAAGAAATTTTTCTTAAACAACTTATGGCACGAGTCCCTGTCTGGTGCTTGGCTGTATACAAAAACCCCTTGTGCATAATATGTGCCGTTACTGCAGACTCACGCATATGTCAAATACTTTTGCAGGCAACTGTGCTAGTGCACACCTGTTTAAAAAAAATTTATTTCTGCACAAGGTATGCCACAAAGGAACACCATTTTCTAGTGGTTAACTACACTGTCTCTGCTACTAACAGGAGACTAACGGTATTACCCTTTTTCTTCCATCTCAACAAGTATTCTTCATTGGATTCCCAGGGGCCACACAGATGGACTTTCCAAATGTCCACCATTTCAGCACAGTTTTCAATACTCTTCTGTATTTCCCAGAGAAGGTGAGGTAAATGTCTGGGAAAAGCCCCCATGTATTCTGAGGCATCCTCAGAACAGTTGCCATTGCTTTTTTGTTTTCCTAAATGAGTAAATGCTGGCCATAGTTAGATCATTCTCAGTCAATTTTCTCTGCCTGCAAAGTAAGTTATCTCTCTAACCAGAAGCACTGTGCGCCCTTGGCAATTCTCTCTGTTCCTCACCAAACTGACACAGCACGTGTATCACTCAGTGGGAGCTCTCTTTCCAAAGGGTGATAGGCTTGCCAAGGAGACTCGGACAAGCCGTGTGGCCCCATGCAGTCCAGGACAGAACTCATCAGGAGAAAGCATTTTCCTGCCTGGCAGGTCTCTCCCAGGAACACACACATTGCGCTTCAACCCTAACAGGCTGCTGCACAGCCCTTGGGAAGTACAAGCCTCCTCCCTCTAACACCAGGGCTGCTGCTGAGTTGAGAGACCATAACAAGCAGCAAGGAAGAAAGCAGAGAATTAGGTGGAAATTCAGGGGGAAGCTTTAAAACAGGAAAAAAAAAATTACAGGAAAAAAGATTTCCAACTCACACACTCTGTCTACCCACTTATTTAGTGCTCCAAAGTCCTCAGAGCAAATGTATAATATACCAACTGAGCAGCACAGGGACAAAATATGCCCATTGGGTTTTTTTGCTTTTACTGAAAAGAATACTCTTCCCATGCAGTTACGTTCACTCTAGGCTAAAAAAACAACCTGGTTTCACTCTTTATGGACCAATTCAGCCCCAGTGTACACCTCTGCTGAATGACAGAATAAAGTATCATAAATTTAAACTTTTATTTTTTAACAAATTTTAAGAAATACAATTGGAAAGTTAAGGAAAGCACAGGACAAGTTTCTAAAGAAGAATGTGCAAACTCATTCATATCTTGGCAGTTTGGTCAGACTAATTTTGCTTTTATCAAACTGTCTCATGCAAGGAGAAAAAGAAATGAGCAAAATCTTTTCAGTAAGGGTTTATCAGCACAAAGACCAAGAGCACAGGGGCACTTGATAGATAAACTCTTCCAAGGGATCTAGGGCTAAAATTTCTGGTTCTATGTTGCCACTTTGACCATGCAATGTTATAACTGCAGTGTGCATCAAACTATTATTTCTGTAACTTGTTACAGAGGGTCCTCTCTATGAACTTTTCTGAGCCTACTCACCTCAAGACAGTGCATTGCAGGTGGAAGAAAACTTTCAGAACAAACTCAAAATCCCCAAACCGAAGAAATCAGGGCCCAGAGAGGAGTTAGCATTAGTTTCCAGCAGGGTTGGTATCAAGAGCATTTGCCCATAGAGGTTCAAAGTTAGTACTAATGATGGGGGGGGGGGGGGGGGTTCTATGTGACAAAGCATTGTG